TATTAGGGAAGATGATGCACAGTAACATTTGAGTGGATATTCATAAAACACTAATTTAACTCGCAAGTGTGAAAAAATCAGGATGAAGAATAGAGTGACGAATCTGTCAAATCCCTGAAAGTTCAGAACAGAGAAGAAGAATAACAAACTTTTACAAATTTCTTGGTTGAATCTTTCTTCTGCGGCATTTATGTTTATGTACTGTTCCTTTGATAAGAGATGACATATACACTCATCTTCTGCCACTTTTCTTCACTTTTTTGGCTTGTCCTTTCGTAAGACCCAACGATTTTAAGCAGCTCCTTTTATCAAATGCTCTTGTTACTCCTCTGTTTCCCTGTAACAGTCTTCTTCAGAGACACCCAGATCTGATTCCCTGGCGTTTATGCTTTGTATCTGTTTTATCTGCGTCAATGGATTCATATTTCAATTCTCTTTTACCCGGGAGAAGAGAGAGGACGAGAGAATAGATTCCTAAATACACATTTAAAAATATAATCTTTTTTTTCAGCAAAAGGCTATTTTATGCTAAGAAAATTTCAAACTTGTTAGCCAATATGGTTAAAACTATATTAGAAGACAGATTCCATGCACGGCCTACTAGTTTGTCAGCCATTGTATTTGTTGTTCTTGGAATTTGTCAGATAGCAAATGTGTGAAAGTAATCTTTTACATCACAAATATTATTTCATATGTATAGTAAATGTCTGTCATTCTGTCGATGTAGACATTATTTTCACTAGTAGAGAATAGCCTATTGTAAACACCACTTCTAAAATATATACAATTGCCTTGTAATTTAAAAAATATAATTTAAATATATAATTCTAATAAAATTTCTAAATTTTATTCTAAATTTTATGAAGATATCTATCTATAATATTATTTGCGAAGTGTTTTTTTGAGTCTGAGCTCTCTGTCACAAGCAGTGCCCCTGCTCAATACGAGAAATGCAACAGCCCAGGCCCACTAGAAATTCAGTGAATTTTGTTACTCCTCTGTTTTGTTTTATATGTTGTTGTAGGGTTTTTCACATAGGTTAAGAAAATCAATAAATTTATTGTTTTACCCCTACTTAATATATTGTGTTATTTGATTATATTAATTGATGAACTGAAAGAATAATGATAAAATTGAAAAAACTAACAAATAAATGCAATAAGTGTCATTCGCGATCACCGCCACCAGTTTTACATCGCCAGCAGTGCTCCCATATGGTTACATCATCTACTCGCTTTGGAGGCTCAGCAATTAGAGGGGGGTAAGAATCTTTCTTTTTTTGTTTTTGATGTCTAATGATATCTCCTCTTTTCTCATTTATCTCTCTCTTAGTTTGTATTATCTCGAATATTCGGACGTATCAGTGTTATAAAAAAAACAAATAAATGCATTGAAAACATAAAATGATATTTTAAACGAAAAAAACTTAAAAGTTAAAACTTACAACATCATATAAACCGAAACGGAGGGAGTATTATTTGGGGCACAAAATTTTCTACTAATACATATAATATTGGTTAAACTGTAAATTATATTTTTTAAATAATTATAGAAATCATTATTATTTAAATTAAAATTTTAAATAAAAAGAATTTCAGTTGTTTTTTTAATATTAAATGTTAAAATTTTAATAATATTTTAAAATAAAAATTAATTAGTTATATAATTTATAAAAAAAATATATTTGCCCTAGGGACCCCAATGATACTAAGCCGGCCCTGGTCCCAAGCAGTCATTTATCCATACGATGAAACGGATCTACATCCCTCTTGATCTCCAGATCAATATACTCTTAGGGTTGCCTTTGAAATCTCTATCAAGATTTAGATGCGTCTCCAAGCTTTGGTCATCTATCATCACCAGCCGAGATTTCATAAATCGGCGCTTGAATATCACACCTCCTCCTCGTCTCCTCATTGCTTTTGCCGATTTTCACGGAGCAAATATTCTGATAGCCTCGACGCCTAACCCAAACGCATCTTCATACTCTTCTTCTTCTTCTAACAATGATCTCATCCTAGTCAACACTGAAGGCAAAGAGGTGTATAACTCATGTCAAGGCTTGATCTGCGTTGGGGCCGGTTTCAAGGACGTGGGAATTTGTAACCCTAGCAACAGGCAAGTGCATAGTTTTCCCGATTTCGAATTCAAATATACTCCAGAAGTTTTACCAAGCCCCAGGTATATGTTGGGGTACGATCCTGTTGAAGATCAGTACAAAGTGCTTGCCCTTGATGATTTGCCTTGGAGATTGGAGCACAAGATTGTGGTATTGGGAGGAAAAGAAACTTGGAGAGAGTCTCCGTTTGTAGCATATCCTCACATTGTTTGTACAAGGGGTTTGTATATGAACGGAGCCATATACTACGGGGCCTTTTTAGAGGACTCTGAGTCCCCGTATAATTCTATAATTGGGAGATTTGATGTTAGGCTTGAAACGTTCACCATCATCAAATTACCAAGAAAACTTGTACCAACAAGTTATAGGAATATGTGGCGTCCTGAGCCATTGGTTCGTCTAGATAAAACTTTAATCGACTGCAAGGGGACTGTTGGAGTGGTCGAGAATCCTCGTGAGGGTAGTTTTCGAATGTGGGTTTTAGAAGATGCTGAGAAAGAGGTTTGGTCTATGAACATTTTTGCTTTGCCTGAATCTTTTGCTCGGCTTGACTTCAAGGTCATGGAAACTTGTTCAACCGGCGAGGTTTGTCTGGTTCTGAAAGAGTTGTCTGATCCCTTCTGTCTTTTTTATTACAATTTGGAGGAAAAGAGCATGAGAAGTGTTACAATTGAAGGACTGCCTATGTCCGAGCTTAAGAAAATCCAGCTTCATTCTTTTGCTGTGTCTGTGTCTGTTTCGGATCATTATGAGAACTCCTTGTCCTTCGAAAACTGAAGACTTGTGTTTACATTATTTGTTTTTTATCTATTGAAAATTAATTCCTTTTGAGCTTTTAAAATCGTGTTGGAGTAGAGGTCCTTTCAACTCTCCTGAAGGTGAAGATGATACAACTAATACTGTAGCAAGTCGTAAAAAGGGTGTGAATGATCATGAGTTTAACTTTCACAATTGTATCTTAAAAACTTTTTTCCAGCTTTAATAGCTTTAGTACATGTACCTTCTGTCTGTTTCTCCTTGTTGCTTGCTTCTTTTTCCGAATCACTTTTTGTATATAATGCTCAGCTAAACCGGATGAATTATAACAGAAAACACACTGAACCAACCCTACTGTTGACATAACAAGTTAGATAACGAACATGCTAACTTTATTTGTTTACATAAAAGACATTAAAAAGCTAAGAGAATATCTACTCTATTAAAATAGAGTCATTCTTTTTATCTACTAATACAAGTTATCATTTAAATTTGGACACTTTCTAGAATGTTACAAATAATATAAGTCATATAATTGATTGAACTGTATTACTTAAATTAAACCAACACAATTAATGTAAAAAGACGACCTTAATGTAAACTACCTTCAAAATACGGCAGATATCTATGTATATACCGAAAACACATATTTTCTCCTACAAATATGGAATGTTCTAAAAGAATATATATCATCAAAATATGGAATATGGAAATCTACTAATTATACTTAAATTAAACCAGTGGTTATTTATGGAATATAGATTGGGCTTACTTTTATTTTTTGAACAAATTATATAGTTTGGTTTTGGGCTTAGTATTAAGAAAAAACTCCAAAAAACATTGAATAAACTTTTCACTTTAAAAGATCAAAAAATCAATTATTATTTTAAGACCCAAAAGGTATTTAATATTTTTAACAAAAAAAAGTTATCTATTATTAATCATTTATTTAAATGTACTTTAAAACATGTTAATATATTTTTTTATTTTAAATAACAATCACTTTTTTTGATAATTTTCAATGGTAACTTTTAAATAATTTATTGTTTTATTTTTCTTAAATAATTTATTGATCAAAAAAATGTAAAGCAAAACCAAAAACCAAATCTAAAAACTAAAATCCAAAACCAAAAGCTGAAAACATATGTTATATTTTTTTTGCTTTGTTTATTTACAAAAGAAACTATTTCAAAAAAAAATTCTTAATTTGTTGTCATCTTTTCAGTTTTAAATTAGATGTTCGATTTTTTGAGATTTGTTTGTTGGTAATATCAGTTATAACTAACTCAGCGGGTTTAAAAATTAAAAACCCAAACCAAAAACTGAAAATGAAAAGTAGAAACTTAAAAACTAAAAACGAAAACCAAAATCTAAAAATAAAAATTGAAACTAAAAACTAATGAAAAACAATTATCCCCACAAATTTTGGTGAACTGATTTTATATCAAAATATTCTTAAAATTAAGACAAAACCCAATTATATAAAATTTTAATTATAAAATATTTATGCGCTTGAAGGGTCAAAATCTAGTTTTATATTAGGCTAAAAACCTCATTCTAAGAGATCCGCATTAAACATGCTATAATACTAGCTTAAGGTAAGACTTTAGTTAAGTATCATCATAGGATTGCGGTTCGATTGGACAAGAAAAAAAAACAAAAATTGGGCTGCTGGCCGGGTTGTAAGATAATCTCATCTGAACACATCGTATCCGTGTAGAAATCATCTTTTCGTCTGTAAAATTTACTAAGTTTAACCTCGGAGGTGTTGGTACCATTCGTTGGTTCTCCATTGTAGAACTCGTCGAGTCATGTTGCCTCGAGTTTCTAAGGGTTGCATAGGAATGCCGGTTTGAAACCTTTGTTTCTTGCTAATAATATTTTATTTGTGTATGCACACATTTCACACTTTTTACAATAGTTTCAGATATTTTTCAATTTCAAAACTAAAATTTGATTTAACCAAAATTTATGATAACATTACTTCCACAACAAAAATACAAGTTTAAGCAGACCAAAACTAAGGTACAAACATTTCACGCGATTGGGGTTTATTTAAAGAAACTTCTTATTCAAAACATAGTTGTTCAAAATAAAGTCAAAAGCAATAGTCACCGTGTAATAGTTAGACAATATTCATCTCTTCCTTGAACTTCGCCATCGCATCCCTAGGAAGCGTTACCAGCAATCGAACACCACCACTCATTCCTGGATCTGCCTTTGGCGGGGGAAGTAAAATATAGAGAAGTGGATTTGTCCTCGGAACTAAAGGTATAATGTTCACTAAACCTCCCCAACCATTGTAAAATAGACCGATTTGCCGCCAATCCGTTAGTAACGTGCACCCTATGCTGACGATATTATTGGTTGCCTTCATCTCCAATCTTCTCTCAATATGGCTAAGCTGCCCCAACACGTACCGCTTGTCTAGCACCGCTCTCTTCATGTCTTTAATTTGCCTCACGACACGAGACAATGATGATTCGCTCAGATCTTTAGCTGTTGATGTTACGAAACCGATTACAAAGGCATTGCCGTAGTAACCTTCTGGTAGTGACGGCTCCATAATGCCGCGGATACCAATGACTAACGACAAAACCATATTTTCATCTGGACTCATATTAAGAGCTCGGCATCGTGCTCTCCAGACTTGGGCCGCAACAATCTCCAGAGTTGTGACCACCACGTTATTCTCCTGCTTATTTGTAATATGCTCGTCCTCTACAATTGCTTTCTTTAGTTTCATAATATTGTCGGAGGTAATGTTGAGGATTTCTTGGACCATGTCATCTGTATACAAAGAGCCAGCGTTTGGCACATCCGGGACGTCCCCTAGTTTTCCTACAACAGTGTAGATCGTATAAGTATATACTTACTCCGTTCCATAAATAAAGATCTTTAAGGAAAAATATATTTGATTTACAAAAGTATATTGTTATATTCCCTTTGTTTCATTTTAATTGTGGTTTTAGGTTTGTGTACAAAAATTAATTATGTGTATTTTTGAAATAAATACATATTACTTGTATATCTAACCACATTTCAACTAATAAAATAAATTTTGCATTGAAATTAGAAAATTATATTTATTTTGAAACAAAAAAATTACTCTACAACGACAAATAAATTGAAACAAATGTAGTATATTTTATAAAAATGCTACTTTGATAATTGTCAATGATAATTTTCTACAAAAATAATTGAATTTGCTTGATTATTATTGGCATATATCTTTATTGAAAACTGATAAAAACAGAAAATAATACATTTACGATCACAAAATTTATACAGTATACTTTTAGAATATTTGTGAACAAAAAAATCTGGACAAGATCATAGTATGTAGCTAGCAAACATGAAAAGTCAGGAGCAAAGAATAACATAACTAAAACGCACGTTTGCATTATGCAACATATTTAAAAAATGTAGATATATACAGGAAATTTAAAGTTTGAAAAGACTGTATTTGTAAAGTGAAACAACAAAAGCGAAAATATGTTCCCAAACATGTACTACCATGAAAGTGCATACCTTTAAACGTGAGCCTCTCTCGCTCCCATACGGGGATGACAGTAGGTTGGGTCTTCCCTGAGGCAAGCTCGATCATTGCTCGGAAAAACTGAGCTATCCCAACACCATCACAGACTGAATGAGAGTGAGTCATTCCAATAGTGATTCCTCCACACGCAAACTTGGTGACTTGTAGAGCCAGAGGGTCATATTCTTCACAACCTTTCACGGGTTCGTAACAAGGCACGAGTTGGTAGGCTGCATCGCCAATACTATCCAAGTAATTGAGAGAAGAGAGAGTGCACGCAGCCGTTGCACTAATAAAGGGAACTCCATCTCCGGCTTTGTAACTCAGTTGAAGTCTATAGTCGTCCGATCTCCGGTGAATTTTTCCGGCTAGAGGGAAGTAGTAGATTAGGGCATTAGATAGGGCACCTTGGAGAAGAGAAGCCGGGTCGTCGTTGGCTTGATCTTCAAGATAGGGTTTAGGGGCGTAGACACATACGGTTTGGTTGATTATTTCGCAGTGAGGATCGTTGTCTATGGTAGAGAGCGATAGAGAGACATCAGGTATCGGCTGTGAGGGTTTCACAAGAACCACTTCTGATTTCTTAACAACCAAGGGAATTGAATTTTCTTCAGTTGCCGCCATGTCTATATATTTTGTTTACAATTCGTCTACAACGTGGGTTTTGTGTTTTTGTTTGTACAGACGACGATGGTTCTTATATACACACATGTTCCTGTCATCATCTTGAAAATGTATGTATCTCGTTTTTGTGTGTGCATTTATTTAAGCTCTGTACGTTTTTTTTAACCAAACGCGGCATCTAGCTGTAAATGTTCAGATTTTGTTTGTTTAAACATTAATGCATCAACATTTAGAGATGCATCTGAATGCAAAATCTATAATAGGTAGAATGTATTATATATTATTTGAAAAACATTGCAAGATTTCTGCTATTGTGATGTGTAATCAATAGAATGATTCTTTAAGATTACAAAAGTATATTTTAGTTACTAGAATAAGTACAATACATGTCATTCATTACTTGGTCTAAAATCTAAAAAGATACTACGGTTTATGATGATTAGAAATATAGAACATACCAATCGGGACGGCGATCTAGAAAAGGAATTAATGACAAAGTATGTTTTGTGCTAATCTATACTATTAAAGTTGAAGTACAAAAATAAAGTGTTTGGAAACATGAATAAGAAAATTTTAAAAGTTTGATTGGAAACATGGATAGCATACAAATTTAATGGGCTTATTTATTATACTAAAGATTACTGCGGCCCAAGGTACCATTATTATTGTTTTTGGATTTTCTATCATTGATATTACTTTATTTTTACAAATTATTTATACATATATGTATTCATGTTTTAAATGTATTTAGAATAAATCAAGAATAATATATATTTTATTTATATAATTTATATTGACTATTATTATAAGTTTTTAACAGTGATATACTAGCCTTCCAATTCTTCATTAAAAATTAAATTAAAAATTTGACTAAATTATTTAGTGTATATAACTTTACACCAAATTTAGTCAAAAAACTTTATAAACTATTACCAAAATGTTTACGGGTCACAACATTTTACGACGCCCCTGTTACACAATACAATAATGAAATACAATGTTTAAACAATATACTATTACTTAGTAAAATTGAAACCATTAAATTGTAACTTTGAAATGTTATCTATACCATAAAAACAAAGACCCGCCCAGTCGGGTGGGTTATGATCTAGTTATCTTTATAAGTGTTTAAATTTTACGTGATGGGTTCCAACTATGAGATATTATATACTCTCTCCGTTTCACTTTATTGTCATTTTAGGTTTTTGCACACATGTTAAAAATACATTTAATTTTACATATTTTCAAGATAAAAACATAATTACCTATACAACTAACCACTTTTCAACTAATAAAAAAATAAAATATCATATAAAATTAGTAAATTTTATTTCAAAACTCTAAAACGACATTTATTTAAAAAAAAAAAAATTTCTCTAAAAAGATAAATAATTTGAAACAGATGGAGTGATTATTTATATTCTGGAAGGTAATATACAAAATAAATGCATGTAAAATAAGAATTACTCGTTTGGTGCAGTTATATAATTATTAATATCATAGAAATGTGAATGCTTTTTTTTTGGAAATTTTAGATGGAAAATTCAGTAGTCGTGTTTAGATAGTGATATTCCAATTCGTTTATCAATCATATGACTTTTAGAAAGTGATCTTCCCCACATAGTCTTATTAATTAAGTGATACTTTACAATATTCATAGCAAATATTTTAAAGTTTCCAAATTACAAACCGGCCATAATATCGGAAAATGCATCTTAGAGCTATTAAACTTGCCGTCCTAGCAGATGCTTTGTTAATCCAGGGTGGCCACGAAACATATATGAAAAAGAGTGGGCGGGACATACTAAAAGTGATAGAGGTGTGTGTGACGTAATGTTACCTAAACATCACATAACAACATAATGCTGGAGTCAAAGTCCGTCGTAACTCCTATCAAAGATTAACAACCAAGATTGCGAGTAATTGTGAAGACAGTTTTTAAAGTAAAGAGAGAATGAGTCGAAACCTACAACTTGTCCTTTCACTCATTATTGTACAAACATTTGCACGGAAACACCATATTAATTTCGTTAATTTTCAAGTGTGATTAAATAGTATATATTATTATATATTTCCAAGCTTAGTAATTGACAGAGGGATAATGACATTGACCTGTTCTAAATGTAGATAAAAACCTGACAAAAACTAAACCAACAAAATCAACAAACAAACAGTTGACAATAAAAATAAGAGAGAATTGGTGTAATATACCTAACGAATATCCAAATTGGCCGAATGTCCATGGTTGTGGATAATCCAAAAAGGTGTAACTTTTTGACACTGTGCAGACGAAAATACTTTCTTACTTTATCGAAAACATGTAACTCTAGATTTAGCAGATACACATTATGTTAACTGAACACTAAGAGATATTTATCAATTTTAACATGATATAAAAATTGTTAACAAATTGATAAAATTTTAACATTTTACAAATTTTGTTATCGGGTTACGTCTATTTATTAACGTGTTAAATAAATCGCTAATAAACAGGTTAGCATGTTAACAATACTATTATCATAAAAATACATATATTAACCGCTAATCAATTATCTATCAAACTAGGATAAGACCTGCGCATTGCGCAGGGTGAATATACGTAATTAAAATATAAAATTTTAGTATTGATAAATTTAAAATTTACATATAATTGTTTTTATGTATTTAAAATTTTAGAATTTTAGAATTTTTAAATAATTATCTATACGTAGGATAAGAAACAATTGTAATTATAACTGGTTAGAATTTAATGGACCCGATTTCATATATCTTTTCACTTTTTAGTGTTCGAGTGATGGAAAATAAAAAGAGTGTCATTGGGCTTGATTGGTAGAGTATTAGCAAATTTCCTAATATTGTTTTAAGAAGCAGTTGGTAAAATAATTGCATTTAAAATATATAAAGTTTCAAAACTAATTTAATATAATTTATTTATTTTTATAATAATATTATAAAACTATATATTTTACAAATTATTATTTTTTAAAATAATTTTATAAAAAATTATGTTAAATTTTAAAATATTTTTAAAAACAATATTTTAAGTTTTTCAAATACAAATAAAGAATTTAAATTAATTATGGTCATGATTTAACATAACCATAATGATTTAAAAAATTAAAAAATTAAAAAATTAAAAATTAACTCAGTTTTATATCATGATTTAACAATTTAGAAATTATTTATGGTTATGAGAAGTTTAAGTTCCGTGTTAATCCTATTTATCTTCAATTTTTTTCTCTTGTTGTGTTTTTTTATATTTTGGTTATTACTCGATACAAATATTGATTTTGAAGTTTATTCTCATTCCGTTTATTTGTTTTGACCTGGGATTTAGAAAATGTTTAAGATTTAAAATAATTAAAACGATACATACTTAGGTTAAGATCTGCACTTTATGCACAATAAGTATTTTATATTTATAATTTATTTTATAATTTTCTGCATATCATAAAATAATAAATTAATAAATATATATATTACATAACTAAGAAATCAGTCACTATTATGTAATAAATTGACGTATGCATATAAATTTAACTATCTTTTTTTTTGAAAAAGGCTTTCTGATTCTAGTTCAAATATAAGAAACTAAACTATGCTTTCGTAAAGTATATAGAATAAAACGTAAACATTGGATCTGAAATTCTTATAACGCATATAAATTTAACTATCACTTTTGTTTATTCACAATTAGCGTAAATAAATCAAAATAATCAATCTTATATATTGTATATGATATATAATTAAATTTAAATAATATAAACATAGTAATATGGCACACTTTTAATATTGATATTTATTAAATGAGGTTTCTACTCATATGATTTTATGATTATTTGTATATTTGTGTAACAAAACTTTACACCAACGATTTTTTTTTAATGTGAGATGTTTAGTAGTTTCAATAATTTATAATCATTTAAAAAAAACAATGACATATTTCAAAATTAAAATATTAACTTTTCAATATATGTTGAAGACAAATATCAAAATATAAGTATGTATTTTCATACGATTTATAGTTTAATTAAAACGATATGAAATATATATATATAAACTAAAATTATTTCTTCATATGGTCTTATAATATTTATATTTTAATATAGAAAAAAAATTAAAACCTTGATCCTAAAAGTTTATGTGAGACTTTTAACAGTTTTAGTAATTTATACTCATTTTGAAAAATTCGAAATACAACATACACAAAAAAAAAATCTAGATTTTTGTTATATGATTAATGTAATTGTGTAATTTATTTTAATAATATATAAATAAACAAAATGAGAAAAAGTATATAGATTGTTATCAAATCTTTATTGTTTAAAATCATTAATTGTCATATATATTTTAATCATATTAGGTAATTCCGTAGGTTTTATTTAAGGAAAGCATGCGATACAATAAATATTTGATATATACAACCAACATAGTCTACGAAATATTATATTTCTAGAGAATATAATTTTTAGACTATACATTATATCACATGCTCTAGAATCCTTGGGATTTGAAATAGAAGCCAAAGAGCTATGCCACATAGGATTGAAGTTATTTTTAATTTTTACAAACTTAAGGTTACAACTTTTTAAATGATTCTCAAATAATATATAGGGGATAGCCGTAATCCTATATGTAACAACTAACACTCTATGTATCGGTTACAAATTCATTAAAATATAATAATAACGGATAAATAATGAAATAGCTGCTAACTTACATATTATCCAAATAAAAGAATGTATATTTCAAGATTTGAAATTAAAAATAATAGAATTAGTGTGAGATAAAAACATTAGCAATATGGGTGTCAAAAGAATCAGAGTAAAAAATAGAGATTTATGATGAAGAAATGAAAGCATAAACATGACATGTGTGAGAGATAAAAAGATTAGAAGATAGGGAAGAGAAGATAGAGAATGAGATGTGTGATCTGGTAAGGGTAAAATCGTCAAAAAAATGTTGACTAAGTTAGGGTTATGTGACATGATATAGGTACATTTGTGCCAATTTCTGTAAAAATAAACGAAAGCAATTACAGAATTAAAATTTAGCCCATACATAAAGGGCCGTATCAATTACAGCAAGCGAGCTTCATCCTAAAATTTAGCCCGAGGTTACTTGCGTCATTTACACAAGGATACACCGAAAACCCTAATCCATGAGAAGCCCTTCTATTCAATATATAAGAATTACATACACGCTAACAAACTCATCAAACTATATTCTTTAGCCTTTTCTTTGTTCTCTATTTTCTCTCTGTATAGTGTCAATCGTCTTGAAGTTTTTGAATGGCTTCATCAGATAGTCTATGTGGATTTGTCCGTTCCCATATGATTCGTTCCCTTGAAGCAATATTAATCGTGCTGCTCTCGTTACTACAATCTCCTCCCTAATCAATTCAAAGTATCATTCTGTTAATTCTAGCATGATACCGATTCGGGAGCATAACTTGAGCGACTACATATATTGTCTGTTTAGTTTTTTGTTTCTGTTGATTGTGTTTTGTCGGAAGAACAGTGATGAGTCAATTTACAGACCTGTAATGATTGCGGTAATGATCGCTATTCATTATGAACATCTAAGGGACTGAGTTCTTCTTCCCTTTTTTTGTCTTTTATTGTTATTGTAGTGGCTTTTACATTCTTTTAAAAATTGATGCTTTGGATGATTTTTAACATTTGAAGCTTGGTGTGAAAGTATTAGCCTACATTGAATTTAGTTTCCCTCGCTATCCTGTTCGTCAATTTACGATGATGTTTCTTAGGACGTCGGGGAACAATATTTTTCTCTTGAATTGCTCTGTTTTTTTAATTATAATTGGATCAAATGAGGAAAACTTATGCCAAGTTGTTGAAGGCCTAGGATATGTTTCTGGGTGTTATGATTTTAAACACTTGATAGGAAGATCTGATGATCATTTCCTTTTTAATTATTTGTCTTTGTTTTTAAATCGAAGCCGGTGATGATTAGATTGAATGGTTGCTGAAATTTCAATGTTGAAAAGCATCTAAATTGACTAGGACGGTCTGAGGCTTTCACTTTTACTAGCAAGTTATTTTTTTGTTTTGGTTTTGAAAAGTTGATATTGGTTAATGTGATTGTGTGTGATGAGAAACAAAAATCAAAATACAGTTATCCCTGGCTTAGGCTTTTAAGCCGTTGCTGAGTCTTTTGTAATCTGACACATCACAGAAACCTCTACTGTTTTTACCTAATTACCTTCCACCATTTTTGACAGATTGTGTGAATAAAGTTGTGTTGGGATTATCCTACGAATATTGTTAGAAAATCTGATATTGTGAAAAATTCTTGCTTGCACTAGTTGTTGGGTTAAGATATGTTTAGGTACGAGTAAAATCATTCCGTGCCTCCACTTGTTAGGTGTTAGCTAATCCATTACATTTATTTCCTGAGAAACGCGATTACTTAGCAATCCAAAAGGTGAAGGAATTGATTTTACCATCAAGCCAATGCATGCTTGGCTACTAGTGTGGAGGTTTAAATCTGAATATTGGTGGCTGATTGGAAGTTTTTCCACTTCCAGTAATAAGGGGGAACTTCACAAAATAAATGACTGTCCCGACAACTATGATAGATCCATATATAATATTTATATATTTCAGTAAGATTTGACAGCAAATCTCCTATATAACAAATAACATTAAACTCTCACTTTGGAACTCAAATGGGTCAGTTGAGAGTTTTTCATGTATCTATTCACAATTAACGCACCCATTCCCTTGCAAAGGTACTACCTCGTGCTAGATTTATACCTCTATTGAGCGAGGCTGCCGTCTGTCCGTCTTGATCGGTTTCTTGTTTTTGTATGAACAAAACAAGTCGGTGTCTAAATTATACAATGTGTGTACTTTAGAAAAGATCTCTTCATTCTCGTATATTAACATTCCTTGGTTTTCTTTTTATTCTCTATATACATTATCTGAGTTACTCTTCCAAATATAACAAAGCGATTAAATAAACTTAATAAGCTCAAGTAATGTCTCTATTGTGTTTGATTTAATCTTCTGACACGTTTTTTATGAAACTATAATAATAGAGCTTTTTTTTGTACGTCTGTCTGTTTATGACTTCGTCGACTTGTCGCTTGGTTATAAATGTCTGAGAACGTGTAACAAAAATGTCCAATCATGTGGACAGTACATGATTATTTACGTTTCAAGATACTAGAATAACAAAAATTTCTTTCAAATTTTGCACATTGCACTCCAACTTAGTCACATGCATGGACTTATATATAATTAGTTCATCATTTTTCATTTTCGACATTTTTTGAAATGGGTATAGATGAAATCCCTTACATTCTATTGAGAATCTTTATACAGTTCACTCACTTAAATGGTGGCTTTGGAGGTCTATATGCTTCTTTTTCTTTGGAAGTCTACGTTCACACATTTATATTTTTTTTCCTAACAGGATGGAATGATATAATATAGTTCAAAAAACTCTGGATATATAAAATTAGGGGTGGGACGGATCCGGATATCCGGGAAATATGAAGTATCCGGATCTTGATTCGTCGGGTCTGTGATTTTAGTATTTGGATTTGGATTTCTGTCATTTGGATATATGGGATTTGGATATCCGTATAGATATTGTGATATCCGCGGGTATCTAGATTCAGATTTGGATACGTAAAAGTAAATAATTAAAAAAAGAAAATTCTAGAAATAATACATAAACTAAATATTTAAGCATAATTTATGAATATATATGACATAATATTATTAATATAAAAGTAGAATATTATTAAACTTATTTTAGTATTGATAAATCATATACAATTAATAATAAAATAAAATCTAATATATTTTTTAAAATACGGATCCGAATCCGGATATTCAGATAAAAAAATTAAGAGATTCGGATCCGAATTTGGATCCGGGGATCCCTGCATATCCTAATTTCGGAACGAATCTGGAGTAGATCTCGGATCGAATCCGAATCCCGGATAAAAGTCTCAGGCCTATATAAGATTATGGGGTACATTATCAGAACCCATTAAGCTCGAACTTCAAACTACTGTACCTACAAGATAACTTCTTGTATACATTTAGCTACAAGATAACTTCTTGTAGATATCACGATCAGTGGACATTTATCTACAATATTTAACACGATCCTGAATTCAGACGCATTTTTAGGTCAATGCATGAGATGCATAAACTTCCACACGTGACAGCATTCATTAAGATTACCATCAATGCACTCAATAATATCTGAATACATCTAAAGGTAAGGTTTACTAGAGAGGTACCCCATCTCCACCTCCTACAACTGCCTAAAGAGTTACCGGAAATTCCTCGCCTTCTGGCTAGTAAATTGAGTTTGAATGTTTTAACAGAGAAGACAAATTGAGAGGCTATCTAGTAGGTTCTGCAAAGGAACAACATGGATATGCTTCATACTAGTCTAGATATCCTTCTACCCCTTGTTGCCATCATCTTTTTCTTTCTCTTTTACCCATTTTATCTTTTGATCAAATTTTTGATGTTTCTCTATAAGCAATTTCTCTTCGAAAACGTAGCTGGAAAAGTAGTTCTAATCACCGGAGCTTCCTCAGGCATCGGAGAGGTTACCTATTTTTCTTCTTCTTATTTTTTTACTTGAAGTAATTTCTTTAATTACTAAATGTTAGTATGTTACTAAGGTTAGCAACTTTTGGATGCGATGCTTTTTAACCTTTTTTTTTTCTTACGTACGTGGAACTTTATTTTTCTCTTTTATTATTTTCTACTTTCTGCATTATTTACCTAGAATTTTTTACGAGTAAAAAATAATAATTTATTTTACGACCAATTCCAACTAATTAGTGACTATTAAATCTTAACCTTTAATGTTTTGTTCACTATATACCGTCTGTTCTATAATTTTGAGGACAACCAGATTCATGTGTTACACATTGATATAATGATATGTCTCTGTACTTTTAGTGATTTATGGTATATTTTGTTAATTTGATATAGTTGATTTTTTTTTGACGTTTTGACATACTGTGGATTTTGTATTTTTTTTGTCTTATAAGTACAGCAAGATAAATATAATATATTTTGAGAAAGAATAGTGTAGCTCGCTATTTGACAATAGCTAGAGCATCCTTTGTGAACGGTCAGTCGATATTTGTAAAAGTGCATAAATCATCATAAACTAGTAAGAAGAGCTAGATGTAATGATACACAGAAGGTCCGAATATTTTCAACCTACCACTTTTTTAGTAACAAAAATCTCTATATGTATGCATATATATATATATATATATATCCATATGTTTTTGTTATTATTAAGATTGCATCGAGTTTTTCCTTGCCTTTCGGATCCATAAACTGCTATGATGTTTGGTGAGATTATTAATGCCATCGTGATTTGTTTGGTTGGTAAAAAAGCATGTAGCGTACGAGTATGCGAAGAAAGGAGCACATATGGCTCTTGTTGCTCGAAGAGAAGATCGTCTTGAGATAGTAGCAGAAACATCCCGTCAATTAGGATCTGGTGATATCATCATCATACCTGGTGACGTTGCTAAGGTTGGAGACTGCAAGAAGTTCATTGACGAGACGATTCGTCATTTCGGAAAACGTAAGCAGTCAAATAATTGGAAAACTACCTACATCATATATAGCAATACTATAATTATGAATGTTGATGCCTGGTGGTAACCCGAAATTATGACATACAAAGACAGTGTGGGGGTATTTATAAACTGCTTTCCATATAATGACAAATTATATGATTCAAACATAGAATTTATAACATTTTAAACTTTTAATTTTATTGAACTTAAGGTTTTAACATTGACACTAAATTTATTGTTATATAATGAAGGATTTTGAAGAGAATTCTAGTGATTTTAAGATGTTTAGGTGGATTTTTCTAATTCAAAAAAAATTCTGGTACACATCAGTGTCTTATAAGTTTACAATTAAACAGAGACAAATAATATATAACATAACGATGAATACATTTTCATTTTGAAAACTTCGTGAAAATTTGTTATTCATCATTATGTTATGAATAACAAATAACATAATGATGAATACATTTTCATTTTGAAAACCTCGTGAAAAAATTTTACGAGGTTTTCAAAATTCCCTATCAGATATGTTTTATGTTGAATTTGTTACACCGATTTAGTTTTCTGAATCATATTCTAGCTTAGATTAGTTCAATATGATATTGTCGAACACATACAAATGCAAATCTCATAGTTTTAAATAGGATTATATAGTGGTTTAATTGAAATCCTATTAACCTACAACTGACCTGAAATCATTTATAACTCATCTAAAATCAAACTATTCCAAATCATTACAAATACATAATTCAATGTACATCGTTTTGTTTTTCCTTCTTTTTTCCATCTTAAACATAGGTTCCGATAGCCTCAGTTACAACTGAATTGTTAGAATGATTATTTTGTTTTCTTTGGTCAAATAAATTTACATGTTATAGTTCTAATCAAGCTGTCATATCTAGACAGTGGACCACCTGATCAACAATGCTGGAGTAGTTCAAACCGTTGTTTTTGAAGATTACATTCATATTCAAGACGCTAATCCTATAATGGTGAGTTTTTATTTGCACAATTCACATTCATAAATTAAGTTAATTGATTCAAACTTAGTACCAAGCATGAAGTTTTTGTTTGAGTTGATATAATTTCTTCAATATACGCGTTAAAGTGCTATGTTCATAAAAAATAATTATATTAAATATTCTCTATATTATAAACGCAGACAAAATTTTATCGCCTTATCATTAGTTTTTGCACTTTAATAAAAGCAATAAAATATTTAGGTTATGTTAGAAAAACCAACATAATGTTTTAGCGTGATATCAATGTAAACGCTACATGCTTCATCTAACTTGTGTGTATGTTAAGGACATCAACTTCTGGGGCTCGACATACATCACTTATTTTGCAATTCCACATCTTCGAAAGAGCAAGGGAAAAGTCATTGTGATTACATCTGGTGCAGCAAATATAGCTTTGCCAGTGTCAAGCGTCTACTCAGTAAGATTTTAAGATTTTTCTTTTTTAGAAACACCAGTAAGATTTTAAGATAGAAATAATAATTTCTTTGAATTGTTTGCTATATACATGAAGAAGAAAAACAAAAAGACAGTTACTTGGGGCTCAGCAATTACATACTTTATATTGATATTACTTGATTTATTGTTGTAGGCAAGTAAAGCAGCCTTGTTAAGATTCTTTGAGGCATTAAGAGTTGAGCTCAATCCGGACATTAAAATAACAATTGTTTCTCCGGGAGTTGTAGCAACAGATATGACCACTCCTCGCTATATAGAAAATGTAAGTAACAAAATGTGTACATTTTTCCATACCATATAAATATTGACACTAATTCTAACTATATGTATTTTTCATATGCTCGATTAAAAAAAAAATAGTATGGTTCAGATTTTTTCTTCACGGAGCCAGTGAGTAAGTGTGCAAAAGGGATCTTCAACGGTATTTGTCGAGGAGAGTCATACATAGAAGAGCCATCGTGGATGAAATGGATATATGTGATGAAAAACGGGTGTCCTGAAATCGTTGAATATGTACTCAATTATTTATATTTTCGTTATCTCAAACCTTCTTTCAAGCGTGATTGATCATTTGGATACATCCAAGCTCTCTAGTCTTTAATAATGGGTGTGTTGCTACGATGGACGACATGAAACTTGTATTTTGTGAGTTATTATTAATTATTGCAATTAGTGTTACAACTTAAATTTACTGTTTATTTATATTTGCTCCTGTTTTTTATAGAGCCGAATATATCGTAAAGCTAGAGGATTCCTTAATTATTTATTTAAGATTATGTATAGGGCATGACGCCGAAGAAGATAAGGCTTATTCCTTCGGATCCTAGCCGATGTAAGTGTTCATATATATACAACCATTCGATTCAAAACGATCTAGGGTGGTTCTTTATTTCCTAGTTAAATGATAATATTTCGAGTCAGGTTGAAATTAAAAATGAAATCAAGATAATGAGATAGTTCATTAAATCAAGATAATGAGATAATTCATTAAGCTTTTGGTATTTAGCAAATGTGATTTGTTGTATGAATAAATGATTTACAGTTAGATTTCTACTGTTATGTTTTGCCTATTAAAGTTATACGATTACACTTATTTGATGTTTCTTATAGTTTTCTGTTCGGTGATGCCTCTCTATTGGACTCTTTAATATATTTCATGCACAAAGAAGCAGCTCGTTTCTTCAGGTTCTCAAAGTTTATGAGCTAAAATCCATAATGCATAAGCGTTTGGATTTAATACGAGTAAAAAAAAAAACGAGTAAATAATGCATATGCGTTTTTTGAGTAATCAATCACGAAAATCCATAAGATATAAAATCATTATTCGAAGTGGAATCAACAAGACGACAGCATACATAAGACATTTTTGAACAAAAGAAATGTCTTCTTTTTTATTTGCATATAAGTACATGCCTAATAGAAAGAATCTCTACAACCGTTTCCGACACATAAGACGATGAACACGCACATAAGGACACATAGGACGGTGCAGCAGCTGTGATGGATATAAACAAAGAGGTACATATTAACTGTGGACTAAGAACAGAATAAAAACTGATAGACAATGAAAAAGGAAGAGAGAGAGAGAGAGAGAGAGATGGGATCAACGAACCATTCATCGTGATCCTCCATTATCTGTGATGATTAAAAAGGTGACATATTGATTTTGGACTAACTGAAGTAAAAAACAGCGTGAAACTAGAAAAGGGAGAGCCAGAGATCGGAATAACGCACCACTCTATAAACACAACGAGGCCCACAACAGCAGCTGTGATATTAATAAACATAGAGATTAACTTTCTACTACTAAGAAGAAAAATATCAAGAAAAAAGTCAACTCACCATCTTTTATCCCAATATAGGGTCTGATTGATGTATGGGTTTTAGAGGTTTTGTGGTTATGTAAAACCATAAAAGTAAAAAATTTACCAATCACTTTTTTAAGGTTTTAGAATTTCTTAAAGTCTTAAAAATCACTTTTTAAAACAACTGTTTTTTATTCACATTTTTTTCATAGCCACATTTTTGGATTTTAAAATTTTCTCTCTCCTCAATTTAAAAAAGAGATAATTTGCTCCAGCACCATAATTAGAGCTCATATTAGCCATTTATACATGATTTGACTTATTTAGATTTTATGACCAAAACACCCCTCATTCTCTCTCCTTCTACTTGCTAGTTTTCTCACATTCTCTCTTCCTACTTTATCTGACACTCTCTCTCTTTCATTCGATTACACTTCTTCCCCATACTCAAACTCTCTTATCATTTTTTTTTATCATTCTCTCTTCTAATTATTTTTTCACTCATTCAAATATATATATATATATATATATTTATTTATATTTATTTCCTATGTGGTTTTAAAGAATAAATTTAATTTTTTATATTTACTCACTCTGATAAAAAAAATAAAAATTCTAAATTATCTATTTGTTAACAGTTAATACCTAACATCTTGTGTTAATTGTTAATAAATACTTGTGTTAACATAGACATTAAATGTTAACAAATTTTGTAGATGTTAACAGATGTGTTCGCAGTTAACAAATACATTTACCAGATATATTAACAGAAGCAGTAATTGTTAACAATTTTTGTAGCTGTTAACAGATGTGTTAGCTGTTAAAATAATATGTACTATAAGTGTTAACAGTTGTGTTAATTGTTAACAAATTTGTAGATGTCAATACATGTGTTAGGTATTATATGTTAAAATTTTATATTGTTGAAGTTTCAATTTCTCTGTTGAACTGGGTGAATTTAAAAAGAAAAGAAGTGAAAATAAAAATAAGACTGTTATCGTTGAGAAAAAATAGAGAAGAAAAAGAACATGTGAGGGAGGAAAATGAATGTTAACAAATTAAAGATAAAAAAGTGAGAAAGAGTGTCAGAGAAAGAAAGAGAATTTATGAGAAGGAAAAGAAAATTCAATCATCTCCAAGGTTATTTTGGGCAAAACAAGCTATAATTGTAGCATTTTGACTTATTATGTCAACTCATGTGTAAAGTTCTAATTATGACTCCAAATATGAGTATTCCACTAAATCACTCTTTAAAAAAAACGTGCAGAACTTTTTTTTTTGTTTTTCTTCACCTTTCACAAAAATAAAACCAATTAGTATGATAATTGATAAATTTTTTAACATCAAAATAAGTCATAGTGACCTACTATTATTAGTTGACAAAAACCTATTATTATTAGACATTAGTTTGTTCAAAACAAAAAACGAATTCTATAGATAACTAAAAACAATTTTACGAATTATTCAAAGAAAAACGAATCAAATGCTATTTTTTAGAAAAAAAATATTTTAAGTTTTTAAGTTTTTATCACAAAAATAGAACTCAAAACTAAAATTAATGACTAAAATAGTATTTTTTATTTTGAAAATTTTAATTTATTTTTATTTTTAAGTTTGAAATCTTATCCCTAAAACTCCAAGTCTCCACTTCTCAACTTTTTTTATCAAATCCATTCCTCAATTCTAAACAAAAATATTTAGGATTAGCTAACATAAATGATATAAGTGTATATTTATTTATTTTGATAAAAAAAATTAAGTCTAATTTAGTCATTTTTATTTTTTAGGTATATCCTAGGAAATTCTCTTTACTAAATTATAATCTTATTTAAAATTTAATAAATAAAGAAATTTGTTGAATGCAGTTTTATTTTTTATCTACAATAAAATAAATAAAATATGCATTTTGATTGATTTCTTGTTTTAAACTACCCAATATATTTTAGGTTTTGCATAAAAAAGAATTATGCATTTTGAAAATGAATTATAAATATATATTTATAACAAGTCACAGTTTCAAAAAAAATTATGCCAATCAAGTTTTTAATTTTTTTCAAAGTAACAATTACAGTGTTAAAATCAAAATCTCTACGACCATAATTCTAAAATCAAAATCTAACGCGAAAGTCGTTACCAATCGTCTTCTTCCGTTTCTGGTATTACGTTACTCTCTCCTTCTTTTCCCTCCATCGCTCCACACGCTGGTGGTAACTGCTGTGACTGAGGCGGTTGCAGGGGGTTATCAGCTCGATTTGGATGATACTCTTTAAATAAATAAAATTATATATAAAAAAAAAATCATCATTGGGATTTCAGAGAGAAAAAGAAGAACTCAAAGACTCAAAACTAGTGAAAAGAAATTTGTTTACCTTGGGGCGGAGGAGCTTCGGCGTGATGCTGCTCTTTATGCTCAGCTATGTCTTTCACCTCTTTGTTGTTCTCCATTGTCACAGATATACGAACTTACTATGTTTTCTTCTTGTTAGCTCCGAGAAGAAGAGGAAGACATAGACGTGATTACTGAACAAATAAGGATTAAAGAGGTCTGTGTAACATGACTTACCACGTTCTCTTATATGTTCATGATTAGACGATGAACTAACAGAAAGTATACAATAAAGTATAACCTTGTCTGTTTTTTTTTTTTTTTTTTTTTAAACACGTACAACCTTGTCTGTTTTATTTGTTTTACTGGAGTATTAGATAAAGCCGAATATTTTAATAGTATCCCTGGCGTGTTGTTGTATGGCAAACATTGTGAGAAACACCACTGACCGAAAGGTATTTTGGTAAACATGTGAAAGAATTTTGATATTCTGACGGTTCTAGAAAACAAAATATTCATATAAAACAAAAGGGAACCCTTTTTTATCAAAAAATAAATAAAATAAAACTAAAGGGCGCCATATAACTTTAGCCTAAAAAATTAAATAAAATTTGTGACGTTTCTCAGATTTAGTTTATCACTTATTAATAATGTGAATATAATGCATTTGAATTAGATAATTTATTCCATTATAATCATGTGTAAACAAACATTTTGCACGTCCGTAACCAATATTGTATTGTTCTATTTTTCAATGCTTTAGAATTTTTTTCTTGTTTTGCAATGTGTTTATTTTTTTTCTCTGAAAAAATGTGTTTATATTATCCAGCAAGTGATCTTTTCTTCTCATAAATGTGTTTAATATGCTTTCATTTACTATAATTGCCGACAATAAGAAAACAAATAATTAAAAAGTATTAAGCTGAATTAGATATAACTTTTATCTAATTATACTACTTATAAAACCGAGAAACCATAAAACTGAAACCAAAACCAAATCAAAAGCTAAAATACCCATTCCAACAAAAGAAGAAGAAAAAAACACCACCTAGATAAATTAACTAAATTAGTAATATTTACAAGGAAACTACCTAGCCCAAAAACTATAATAGTTTCTTTTTGAAATTTCAAAATTATAATAGTTGTATATACATATTTTTAAGTCGGCCTCAAATAGTCTCTCGATGACTTTTTGTGTGCAAAAGTCGATGACTTTTACCAATCACATGCATATAATTATTGACTCAAGAAAGTCTTTGTATTTTAAGATTCCCTATTTTTGGAAATGTTTATTGTAAAGTTGTAAACAGTAGGACCTGCATTTTCTATTTTTTGAACAACTGATTCATTCATTCATAGCTAAATTAGGAGTTAAGCTCATTACAGGCCCATAGGAATAAAAACGGAGGACCTCGTCAGGCAGAAAATCAGCCTCGACGTTTGCAATCAGGGGCGGATGCAGGAATCTTTTTCATTGGGGGTATAATACAAAAAATCCTATTAACAAATAGAGTCGGGGGCACTTTTTCCTGTTACTCACCTAAAGTTAGGAACACCTAACCATCTTATATATTAAAACAGAAATCATAACTTGACTTCATGTGTGATTTTTTAAAAAATAGACTATTACTAGAAAGTCATGTTATATTAATTCTCTAATAATCTTATCATTATTATATCTTATGAAAAATCATATCTATAGTAACAAATATACGCTTAACAATTCCGTTTTGGTAAATTATCTCACACCTTCCAACTTAGTCACACAAAATATGTCAAAAGATATAAGTTTAGTAATATTCTATTATTTATAAGGAAATATGTCAATAATAGTTAAATGAATCCACAATATATTAACAAAAATCACATATTCGTAATATAGAATATTTATATACCCTAACAAAGTTTACACGCTATATATACTAGATAAATTTATTTCGATATAAAATTTTAAAATTATATTGTTTTAAAAAAAAAGAAATTGTTTAAAAATTTATTTTTTAATAAAATTATTTATAATATTAATTTATGAAGCTATAAGTTTAGTTTTTAGCAAAAATTTCTTCAAAGTTTATATTATCTTTGAAAATTAAAGTATACTAATATTTAATCAAGCTCTATTTATATTAATTTATCTAAAAATGAAATACTAATCTAACAAACAATAAAATATAGAAGAAGAAACAAACACATGTTTGAAAAACATGTATAATATAGAAAATTTGAAATAATCTATTTGATTAAAACATTGTATTACATAATATTATTATGTTTGAAAAACATTTACTATACGTATCGTAAATATGTGATTACTATGATATATACCAATTTACAAGTGAAAACAAAATGTTTATATAACTACTTATACACGAAAACAAACAACCGCGCGGTTGCGCGGGTCAAAATCTAGTCTTCTCTATTAAAATAGAAGTCATGACTTGATTTCATGTGTGATTTTGTTAAAAATGGACTATTAATAGAAAGTCATGTTACATTAACTCTCTAATAATCTTATCATTATTATATCTTATGAAAAATCATATTTATAATAAAAAAAAGATACGCTTAACAATTGGTTTTGGTAAATTACCCCACACCTTCCAATTTAGTCACGCAAAATAAGTCAATAGATATAAGTTTAGGAATCTTCTATTATTTATAAGGAAATATGTCAATAATAGTTAAATGCATCCAGAATATATTAACAAAAATCACAGATTCATAATATGGAATATTTATATATCCTAACAAAATTTACATGTTATATATACTAGATAAATTTATTTCTATGTAAATTTTTAAAATTATATTGTTTAAAAAAAAAAAATTGTTTAAAAAATCATTTTTAATAAATGTTTTTATAATATTAATTTATGAAGCTATAAGTTTAGTTTTTAGCAAAAACTTCTTCGAAGTTTATATTATCTTTACAAATTAAAGTATACTAATATTTAATCAAACTCTATTTATATTACTTTATCTAAAATAAAATACTAATCTAACAAACAATAAAATATAAAAAAGGAAACAAACACATGTTTGAAAAACATATATAATATAGAAAATTTGAAACAATCTATTTGATTAAAACACGTATTATATAATATTATTATGTTTGAAAAACATTTACTATACATATTGTAAATATATGATTATTATAATATATATCAATTTACAAATGAAAATAAAATTTTCATATAACTAACTATAAACGAAAATAAACATCCGCACGGTTGCGCAGATCACAATCTAGTATTTATTTAAATTATATAAGATAATCCAAAATCAGTAGGGGCACGTGACCCCGTACCGTCAAGCCTCCGTCCACCCCTGTTTGCAATACGATAGACAAAGGAGAAAGAAACATAAACAAAGCAAAGCTGCAAGACGATAGCCAAAGGACCTACATTTTCTAGTCCACTCACCTACACTATTTTATGTGGAAAATATTACTCTAAGAGACAGTTTTGAGTTTATTATATCACTCTAAGACAGTTTTAACTACCAACACACTTTTTCTCTTATCTCAACACTCTCTTTCTTCTTCCTAACGTTTGAAAAACCATCCAAAACCATCCCTACCCTTTTCTATTATTTTTAATTGAAACCTAATAAAAGTACTATAATAAAATTATGTAGCTATAAATCAGTTTCTTTTTCTCTTTCTCTTTTTTTATCTATTTAATTTTTTTTCTTATCTTTCTCATGCAATTTTTTGTCCGTAAAAAAAATTATGCTAAAACAACTGAAGATTAAAATGAAGATAAAAAACATATGACGATGGAATTCCAGTTTTACAATTTTTAATCAGCCTCATGTAGAACTAGTAGAAGAAGAAGATGAGGACAAAGACGATGAAAAAGTTAATAATAAAGACGGTGATGGCAGTGAGAACAAAAACGACGACGAGTTTTGCATTCAGATTAGAAGCCAAATAACTTCTTGTTCGCTAACAAGAAAGTGAACTTGGTGTTAAAAACCATCGCGTTCAACTTCTCTATGTTCTTCAGACCATTTAAAGATTACGTCTTTGCAATATTAATGTTCATCATCTGAATATTCTACTTATGTGAAGCTTTTTTCCTTTATTGTAAGAGATAAGTTCACGTATATTGTATGGAGTCCATATTAGATTAGGGGCTCGCGTCTGATTAGCTAGTTGGTGAGGCAGTTTGAAATGTTAAACCCACATATTTTTTCATGTGTGTACATGTAAATATGTGTACATATGGACGTTGTGAAATTGTGTACACATGACAAAAAGTCATAATGAGAATCACCTCTATACTTCTTCTGAAAGTGGCAAGACTGTAATTAGTTATGAATCAAAGACGTGTACACGTGAAAGAAGAATAGACAACCAAGTCATTGGAGGAGTCACTAGAAGATGTATTAGGATAAAAGAAATGAAATGTTGATGATTATGTGTTTAGCGAGTTACATGTGGATAGTTCCTTATAGTGTAAATGTGGATAAGCTTAATGGTGTACATGAAAGAAGTGTACACATGGATACTATTTTTTTCCAATATGTTAAAATATATGTATATGTGTGTACTAGATTTGTAACTATTTAGGAGAATCATATGTATCACCTCTATACTTCTTTTGAAAATGGTAAGATTGCAATTAGTTATGAATCAAAGAATTGTACACGTGAAAGAAGAGTATAGAACCAAGTCATTGGAGAAGTCACTAGAAGAAGATGTATTAAGATAGAAGAAAGGCAATGTTCATGATTATGTGTTTAGCGAGTTACATGTGGGTAGTTCTTTATAGTATACATATGAATAATCTTAATGGTGAAAGAAGAGTATACACAACCAATTCATTGGAGAAGTCACTAGAAGATGTATTAGGATAGAAGAAAGGAAATGTTGATGATTATGTGTTTAGTGAGTTACATGTGGATAGTTCCTTATAGTGTACATGTGGATAAGCTTAATGGTGTACATGAAAGAAGTGTACACATGGATACTATTTTTTCCACTATGTTAAAATATATGCATATGTGTGTACTAGATTTGTAACTATTTAGGAGAATCATATATATCACCTCTATACTTCTTTTGAAAATGGTAAGACTGCAAGTAGTTATGAATCAAAGAACTGTACACGTGAAAGAAGAGTATAGAACCAAGTCATTGGAGAAGTCACTAGAAGAATATGTATTAGGATAGAAGAAAGGCAATGTTCATGATTATGTGTTTAGCGAGTTACATGTGGGTAGTTCTTTATAGTATACATGTGGATAATCTTAATGGTGAACATGAAATAAGTGTACACATGGATACTATTTTTTTCCACTGTTAAAACATGCATATGTAGATTTGTAATTGTTTAGGAGAATCATATGTATCTAACATTATCTAACTACCTTATTAGTCTTACATTTGGAATTTTTTTTATAAAAAAGGTATACATGTAGTCTCATCAAAACGATGTACATGAAAAAAGTGTACACATGAGTACCATTTTTTGTTTAGGTAGACATCCATATGTACAAGATATCCTTATGTACATGTAAAATGTAAACAATGCTCACCTAAAACAGTATATATGTGTATACTATATAAAATGTACATAAGGGATTTTCTCCTTTCCATGTCTATGTGTACAACGACATTACATTCGTACAATATACTTGTGTACACTAGACAAGCATCATGTACACAAACAAAACACAAATGTAAGTGGCTTTTTGTGAATTTGTGTACATTTGGTGAAACATGTGTACATCGGATGTTGTTTTATGTACACATGTTAAACATTCAAATTCAAATGTGTGTTATATATTTGTAAACAAATATGAAACTACCAAGCTTGGTAGAAAAGATGAGAACTGTACACAGAACGGACAATTAGAACTTTTTTTCATTAGGAGTTAAACTAAAGTTGCATCCTCTTAAAAGCAAATCAAGCAACCAAAAATACAAATACTGTAGTGTGGCGGCTCTCTAGCGATCATGAACACATTCGATGTTGTAACGGCCTACCAGATTCTTAGCACCATCATATGAATGAGTTTATCAATTATCTCATACTTATCTTATAAGATTACGTTATGCCAACTCCTTTGCATCTGAGACTTGCTTCTGAAACATAAAGATAAAAATACATTAATTCCTAAAACTCACCATGTCTATGTGTACACTATGTACAATGTACATAAGGAAGGAATATTTTTCCTCTCTATGTCCACGTGTACAACAACATTACAGCCGCACAATATACTTATGTACACTAGACAAGCATCATGTACACAAACAAAACACAAATGCCTTTTACTTATGTCACTGGAAACAATGTTTTATGTTTTCATTTTCTTTGTTATCATATCTTCAACTAATGTTGAGTCCAACGATTAGAGAGAAAGAGAGAGAGAAAGAGAGAGAGAGAGAGAGAGTAAAAAATAATAATATTTTTATATGTAGCTGAAACTAAATTTATTAAATAATATTTTTGTGTGACTGTGCTTAAATGTAATAAAATATGATATATATAGTTTGAATTTCAATCCACGTGATAAGAAAAGAGAAATGGTTTAGATAGTAAAAAATAAATTTAGCTGAGGACTTTTTAGTCTTTACAATCTCAGAAACTACCTCAGTAGCTTAAATGTACCTAGAGAACTCAAAAACTGACCCTGAGTGTAAAACACTCTTTTATGTGTCACAACCAAACTATTTTAACGATTAAACGCAGAATAAATCCGAAATTGACATCTAGCTGATAAGACACATAAGTGCAGTCAAGAGAAGAAAAATATAACAATAGCATCGATCATTCCTTGCTAAAAGGTTCGCTTTTGTATCTCTTTCTGGAAAACAAAACTTTTTAGTTTCACCGATACAATACATGATGCTAGTCGGTCCAGATCCATTTATATTGCAAGCATTAAATGAGCATAAATTTTTTTGAGGAAAATTATAATCTCCATGTTTAAGAATTTGCTAGGCACTAGACGGAAGTTCGGATTGGCCTAAAGCCTAAATAATAAATCGGAGAGATTAATCAAGTACTAGTTTTTTGTACTTTTATTATATATATATATATATATGTATATATTAGCATATGCATGATAAGACAAAGAAGTCGCTGTCTCATGTATATGTGTACATATATTAGCATATGCGTGGTAAGACAAAGAAGTGATCCACAAAGAAGTGATCCAGACCATTAATATCAGGCTTGGAAACTTGATTTTGATGTCCATCATCGCATAATAATCATTTTCGCTTGCGCCAAAGAGAAAAACATTCATTTTCGCTTAATAAATTTGATGGACAAAAATCTCACAATGGTTGCATAAGAAAAAGAAGTTAAAATATTATTCTATATATAGTTTTCTACATACAACGTAATTGGTAAGATATTTGAGTTTCTTGTAAAACCCAAAACTATATCTTTACAATTTAAACTTTGGGCTGATTAATTAGTAAAGAAAATGATTAATTTGCTTCCGATTTTGTTGTCCGATTAAGATAAAATCACGGCGGATGAAATCCGAGCAGCATTAGTCAGGCGGTTAGACACCCGCATTTTAGAACATATCATAATTTTTAGCCTCGACATATTCAATATAATAGTAATATTTTTATGGCAACTCTCAAGTTAGATGTCTTCGTAATGAATGTAGTGTTGACATTTTGTCTGTGTAATTTTTTCATAATTGTAATATTATAGTATATTAACGTTACAAAGAATAATATTCACTTGTAAGATTTTAAAATAATAAAAGGTTATATATATTCTTTTAAAGATTATTAAAAGATGTAAATTTCATAACTGAGTGTTTAAACATTTAGAGCATGATCAACGCATGGGATGCTGGGAGGGGTGCATATTTTAAAAAAAATTAAAAAAATTAATCTGACTAAAAAGAAAAATTAAAAAGTAACCAATCGCAGATTGACACATGTCAATAGGGCCCGCGAAATAGTGCAAGCTTCAGCGCTTAATCTGACCATTTTGGCTTTGCTTTGTCTTCTGTTATGGTGGGCTCCATGCTTCAGCACCTCCTCAAGCGTTCGCGTTGAAGATGCTCTTATATTCCATATAACTGAGTGTTTGAGCGCTATTCAACTTATATTCAATATTTCTAAATTCTTATTTACTTAGTGTCTTATTTAGCAACCTATGATTCTAAAAGTAAGAAAAGATCATTGAAAGGGTTTGCGTGTTCTTGAAACTTAAAGAGTACAAACTGAGCTAAAAGCACATGAAAGGTTACTTTAACTTTGCAAAAACACACACATCTTCTTCTTCCTTTGAAGTTACTTTTCCTCCTCTTTATTCTTTTGACATTTTTCTAAATATTTTTAAGATATATTATGGAATCAATTTCAGACATCTACATAGAGGATCGATATTATATGATCTTATAATCATATGTTGCTAAATAAGAATCTGAGTCATGCTATCATAATGTTTACAATCCCAAGCAAAGACAACACACGCCATCATGTTCTCCCCAATAACAATCACTTGCAAAGTACATACACACAAACTCAGAAAACATAATTCTAAAACATAAATATAGATTAATTTAATACAAAATAATAACCCTTTAATTAGTTAAGACATCACACCATGAAAATTCCCAATTCCCCATACAAACTCAGCCAAGAACTTCAAAAAATGCTTAGAGGCATCTTCCACATATGCCTCTTGGCATCATTTCATCTTCTGCCATTCTCCTCCGCCTTTTACGACAGTGGCTTCACCGATGGAGCAAATATTGCTCCTTCTCCATGGTACCACAATATTGTCCCAGCATCAGAAACCGCACCATCCCCAACCCCCACCGCCAGTCCCCCAACTAACTCAGCTCCATCTCCCAGTCCTATGGCTGCATCGTCTCCTATCAACAACAGCTCTATCTCCGACGACATGACATGGTGGTGCAACAAGACTCCACACGCTGAGACATGTGGTTTCTATTTCCAAAGAAGCCCACACAACAACATAAACCAACCACCAAGGTTCCAGTCCGAGTTTCTACGAATGCTGGTCCACGTAGCACTTGACCAAGCCGTGATCACACACGCTCAAACCGTAAACTTCGGTCCAAGCTGCACCAACAACCAACGGAAAGCCGCTTGGTCAGACTGTGTAAAGCTATTTGAAAATACGGTCACTCAGCTGAAGCGGACCCTCGATGGACTTAACCCGGCGGCTTCTAGTGATGTGAAGTGTTCGGAATTCGACGCACAGACGTGGCTCAGCACGGCTCAAACCAACATTGAGACATGCCGGTCTGGCTCGGAGGACCTTAACGTCTCGGATTTAGTCATGCCGGCAATCTCCAACAAGAACTTGTCGGACTTGATTGGAAACTGCTTGGCTGTCAATGGAGTTCTCATGAAGCAACATAATCATACGACTGGTACGTATGTTCTATTTTATTAGTATTGTAACTACTTTTAGTGGTTAATTACTCATGAAATACGTGAATTTTCACAATAACTTTTTTTTGTTACGAACAAAAATAAAAGTAATATGTTTTACACACACAATCAGATCAAATTAACGTACTTTGTTATATAAATTTTATTTGTTATCACGCTTTTAATATGGCATGACTTTATCTAACACGGCCATATCTCAATTTATTTTGTTTATCAAGATAACCACAAAGAATACTTCCCAAGCTGGGTCTCAAGATACGAAAGAAGATTACTCGTATCATCCTCTTTAGCGAAATCGAGACCTCACCTAGTGGTTGCAAAAGACAGGTCCGGCCATTTCCGGTCGATCCAAGCTGCGATAGACTTCGCAGGAAGACGAAGAGTCAAGTCAAGATTTGTAATATATGTGAAGAGAGGTGTTTACAGAGAGAACATTGAAGTCGGCAACAATAACCACAACATCATGCTCGTTGGCGATGGTGAACGAAAAACAATCATCACCAGCGGTAGAAGCGTCAAGGGTGGCTATACCACATATAACTCAGCAACAGCAGGTTATAATCCGTCTTAATTATTATACAAATAATTTTGCTGTCAAAAATTATTATACAAATATTATCCGTCTTAACTATTATACAAATAATTTTATTTTCTTAATATCTTGGCTAAATTCGACTTAATTAATACTCCCTATATTCTTAAAAGATCTATATTCTAGTTTTTTCACATTTTTTAATAAAACACAATAATTTTTTTCTAGAATATGTATCTAAGGAACGAAGGGAGTACGTCTTAATTATTATACAAATAATTTTATTGTCAAAATTAGTATACAAATATTATCCGTCTTAATTATTATACAAATAATTTTACTTTCTTAATATTTTGAATAAATTCGACTTAATTAATACGTCTTAATTATTATACAAATAATTTTATTGTCAAATGAAGGCTTTGGAGGTCAAAGGTTTGTAGCAAAGGACATGACATTCATCAACACGGCAGGGCCATTACGAGGCCAAGCTGTCTCTGTTCGGTCATCCTCTGATCTCGCTGTTTTCTACCGTGTCGGTATCCATGGATTCCAAGACACTCTTTTCATCCACTCGCAACGTCAATTCTTTAGAGAATGTTACATCTCAGGGACCATAGACTTCATCTTCGGAAACGCAGCTGTCGTGTTCCAGAACTGCATGATTCTTGTCCGAAGACCTCTCCATGGCCAAGCCAACGTTATAACCGCTCAGGGTCGTGGTGACCCTTTTCAGAACACAGGTATAACCATCCATAGCTCAAGGATAATCGCGGCTTCTGATTTGAGGCCTGTGATTCGAGCTTACAAAACTTATTTAGGCCGACCGTGGCAAAAGTATTCGCGTGTTACGATCATGAAGACCTATATAGATAACTCTATCAGTCCCTTGGGATGGTCTCCTTGGTTAAGAGGATCCAATTTTGCTCTCAATACAGTTTTCTATGGAGAGTATAAAAACTTTGGACCAGGTTCTTCTACAAGGTGGCGCGTCCGGTGGAGAGGATTTCACGCTATAACCAATGCTGCTGTTGCTTCACGGTTTACTGTGGGAAGCCTCATCGCGGGTGGTTCGTGGTTGCCTTCTACTGGCGTGCCGTTCAAGACAGGGTTGTGAGAAAAGTTGCATGTTCTATCCCAAAGACTAGTGTGTTATGTGTGTATGTGATCCTTGTTATTTATTACTGATTTATTTATATCTTTTTACATTATTTTTAAACCAACAAATCTCTTGCTTATTAAAAGAGAATCAAATTTAAAAAATAACTTTATTTTCGTATTTTAATTTCATATTTACTATTATTGATGTGTCAGTTCTACATGCCTTCTCAATCCAAATAGTTTATCCTTTCCTTAGAGTTATAATTGTCATTACATATTTTTCAATATTATTCTTTTTTGAAAGAAATTTTCAATATTATTCTAACGACATAGTACAAGATTATAGTTCGTTTACTAATTTTTTTTTTAAAATACGGTTTCATTTCACACTCAACCCCGACGAATAGAATTCAATATTTATACACAACTATACTCCCTTAGTTAAATGATAAATCATTCCATTTTGAAAACCTAAAAGTTTGATCACCTGAATGGATACCCAAATTCTCACTAATATTTAAAACATTAACATGACTATATATCATAGATGATCATACCATTTTTATTTCTCGTAATTAAAATTTTTCGAGGTTCAAGGATTATCGCTATTTGTTTTCAGTTTGGAGGTAAGGCCCACGATCCAGCCCGAAATCAACCCCCTTTATTTTTTGAACATCATCCAACCCATTTATATAAACAACTAGATTTTGATCTACGTTTGAAACATGTATAATTTAAGTAATGCGGTTTAGTAAACTATATCATTTGTATTATTTGTAACACTTTAGAAATGATCCAAATTTAAATAACAACATATATAAAAAGAAAGATTATATTTTAATAGAGTAGATCGCACTTCTCTATTCTCTATCCTAATTCCTAAGAGCATCATTATCGCTCTCATACGAGCGTATCTTATACAGGAATGACCCACAGTTTACATAAAAACCGTGCTCTGTGGGTACAAAATAAGCGACGTCTGTTGTGTGGTTTTTCCACTGTTCTTGACCCTATCGACACGTGGTGGTCCGCTATTGGTGCGTTTTAAAAAAAAATCTCATTTTTACAGACAAATTTTTTTTTTTTTTAAGAAATCCTTTAATGGGTTTGTGGGGTAAAGATGGCCTAAAGTGATGTGCTGATGTGCATACACATCCCCCAACGCTCAATCAATTTGTAACAGAGAGAATTATCCTCCCTAAAATAACTGAAAAATCAGATATTGTGAAGAAAAAAACAAAGAATATTGTGAAAGTTTCTTCCACGTATTTATGACATTTTTAATCCGAAGCTTTGTATCAAATAGGCCTAGTATGAAACATGAGATCGAAAATGCACGGATAGTAACCACCACAAAGCAATCATCTTAATCTCCAACCTAAAAACAAACAAAAGACAAGCAAATAACCCGAGTAATTGGAGAAACAAACGTCACTTGTGGCGTAAATCTTCTTCTTCTTCATCTTATCTCTCTCATTCCGGTGCCGTAAATATGTCTTTGGATACGGTGGACAAGCTGGTGGTGTTCTTGGCCAAGAGAGACGGAATAGACAAGCTTGTGAAGACATTCCAATACGTGGCCAAGCTCGCATGCTGGCACGTTGAAGCCACACGTCCGGACGCGGCCGAGAGATTCAAGAAATGGGAGGTTGCGTCCGGTCTCAGCCGCAAAGCCTTCAGGTCCCATACCATCTCTGATCATTTTATCCACATAATGGCATAATCGTAATATAGTCTAATAAATGAAAAGCTTTCTTTAATTTGAATAGTCTTCACTAGTAGAATTCATATTATATACACACTAAAGTTTAAATTACAAGAAACTATAGTCTCTAGTATAATTTTGAATAGATAATTTCTTAACAGTAGCAATTGTTGTTAATTTATGGTCGAATTATGCGAATATAGGACTGGGAGGTCGCTCACGGGTTTCAATGCCCTGAGACGAAACCCTGGAGCAACCCCGGTGATCCGTTTCTTAGCGGTCCTAGCCAATTCAGGAGAGATGGTTTACTTCTTCTTCGACCATTTCCTTTGGCTATCAAGAATCGGTACATTAGACCCCAAGATCGCCAAGAAAATGAGTTTCATCTCGGCTTTTGGTGAATCTTTTGGTTACGTTTTCTTTATCATCATCGAATGCATTTTCATAAGGCAGAGAGTCGATTCCTTGAAAAGACTCAAGACAAATGATGAACCGAAAGAAGAAATCAGCGGGAAAGTTAGTGAGATTCAGGGAGATATAGTGATGAGACTGATGGGGATTTCAGCTAACATTGCTGATCTGATTATCGCATTGGCAGAAATTCAACCGAACCCGTTTTGTAACAACACGGTTACACTCGGTATAAGCGGTTTGGTATCGGCTTGGGCTGGTTGGTACAGGAATTGGCCATCGTGAGAGGTACTAATTAAGATCTGAGGAGCGTATCTAAAAAATGTTGTACCAAACGTTTAACTCAGTTGAATATATGCAATTTTCTATATTGTTTTAAAAGGTCACATTTAAATAAAAAAAAAACTATGTATAAAAATGTAACGTGGGACATTTCTCAATTATCAAGACTTGATAACTGAAAATAACTACCCCACTCTCACTTTCGCCAGTAAAACACGTTTGTATTGGGACGGTTACTATGTATTTAAAATGAAAAAGAATGATTTTTACAAAAGTCGTCACCACACATCTTAATACTTAACACCAAAGCAGAGAGAAAGTAAGAAAATTAGTGAAAGACATTGATGAGAAGGATGATTCCAACATCGTTGTCAAGTAAGTTTCAAGGATCTGTGAGTATGAATGCGTTGAGATGTTATGTTTCGGAGTTTATCTCAACCTTCTTCTTCGTCCTAACAGCCGTTGGATCCGTCATGGCTTCAAGTAATTCTCCCATCACTTAAAGTTTTGAATCTTTTGATTATTTTTTCTATCAAGAATCATTCTTTAATTGTGTTTTTATAGGAAAAATGATGGCGGGTGATGTGACGGGTCCGTTTAGTGTATTAATCCCAGCGATTGCGAATGCGTTTGCGTTATCTTCGTCTGTTTACATCTCTTGGAACGTCTCTGGTGGCCATGTGAATCCAGCGGTTACGTTCGGAATGGCGGTTGCTGGTCGGATTAGTGTTCCTACCGCTATGTTTTATTGGACTTCACAAATGATTGCCTCTGTTATGGCATGCCTTGTCCTTAAAGTCACCGTCGTTGAACAAGTATTAACGTTTTGTTACACTAATAACGTTTTTTTAACTGTTGCTTATATTATATACCTATGAAATATTTCAGCACGTACCGATCTATAAGATAGCCGGAGAAATGACAGGATTTGGAGCATCAGTTCTCGAAGGTGTTTTAGCGTTTGTCCTTGTATATACCGTGTTCACAGCCAACGACCCGAGAAGGGGCTTACCTTCAGCAGTGGGACCGATATTCATAGGGTTTGTCGCGGGGGCTAATATTCTAGCCGCTGGTCCGTTCTCTGGAGGATCCATGAATCCGGCATGTGCCTTTGGGTCGGCTATGATTTATGGAAGCTTCAAGAACCAAGCTGTGTATTGGGTCGGGCCTTTGCTTGGAGGAGCCACCGCTGCTTTAGTGTATGAAAACATGGTGGTGGTTCCAGCGGAAGAAGACCGTGGTTCATCCATCGAAGATGCCACTGAAGTGTAATGACTTATGTTGAAATGTTAATGTAGTAGAGCTTTAATTTTATCAGTTTCTAAAATATTGCTGTTGACTTGATGTTTGATTTCTGGATTACTAATTTAGTAGATTTCAATGTTTCATTACAAACAATTTGCTATGTAGCCCACTAAAATTCCACTGAAGTGTAATGACTTATGTTGAAATGTTAATGTAGTAGAGCTTTAATTTTATCAGTTTCTAAAATATTGCTGTTGACTTGATGTTTGATTTCTGGATTACTAATTTAGTAGATTTCAATGTTTCATTACAAACAATTTGCTATGTAGCCCACTAAAATGTTCATCACTTAGTTCCTCTGTAAATTGAAGATTTTTAAATCCGCTCATGGAGCTACAACACTTCCATACTCAAAAACCAAGAACTCTAAGACGCAACACACATAAAGATAATTAAGACATGAAAGTAACAAAAAAAAAAAGAGAGAGATGGTATTTATAAGACTGTCTTAGATCTTCATGAGCTGAAGGTTTGTACAATAGTGTTGTGCCATGGGTCAGACAAGTGCTGCAACAAATTCTCAAATGGTCCCTTTCCAGTTACATTGTGTTGAATCACGAACCCTAAGAATGCCAACATCGCTAACCTCCCTGGAACCACCACAACAACAAAAAAAGGTTTTTTCGTCTTTAAACAATGTGATGTCCACAAAAAATAGAAAAGAGTCTTTAACTGATTATCCCTTTCTAGGCTTACCGTTTGCGAGCTCTTTCTCCTTGGCCTCGAGGGTGGGAGCAAAGTTAAGAGGGTTAAAGATTCCTCCGGGGTAACCAACTTCATTTGGAGGCAAGCTGTATTGCTTGAAGATAGGGTCTTGGTTCACACTTCCTGGGTTCTTGATGTCTTGCCACCTTCTGATCTCAACGTAATGAAACAATATGAATTCGATCACGAACAATGTCGATGATGATGCAAAATACTGCTCTTTCCCGGCATCGTACCATTCCGGTACGTTTATGATTCCTACCAACAATTTTGACAATACATGTGTTAAGTTATTTAAATAAGTATTTGCAATTTTTTACGTCATGTTATTTTGTTAAAGGTATATAATCTCACCGATCTTGGTGAAAACTTCCGGCAAAAGCATCCCTGCGACGCCGAGCATTGCCCACCGTCCATTGACAAGCTCTGCCTGGACGAACCATCTCAAATTCTCTGGATCCTCTGCTAGTCCCAATGGGTCAAACCCATTGTCACCGGCAAGACTGCAAATAATAAAGAGTGAGTGAGGACCATGCGGTCCATGCAATACCATGCACGTAATATAAACCGTATGTATCCGGTTTAATCTAATCAAACAAAATCGATTATCCAATTCATCTCAATCGATCTGGGATAGAGTTAACGTAGCTAAATCGATTATTTAATTGTATTAAACCAAAATCTTAATGTACTTTACCTGCCGTTGAGATAACCAGGGGATGACAAACCGGGCAACCATTCTCCTTTCTTAGCTTCAACCTTGAACGAGACCATTTTAGAGGATGAGCCAATAGAGTTAAGCGACAATTCGCGGTTCAATCTACCAGAAGAACCGGTGAGGAATCTTGGTTTCGAAGTACATGGTCGGAAAATGGAGGCTGAGGCTTGTGTAGTGACAGTCGACATATCTTCTACACTCGATATCTGACCCAAGAAATTGATTCAGGAAGAGAGAAGGGTTGGAACCAAAAGAGATTACTTGAAAGATGTGTTTGGAGATGATTGTGAAGAAATAGACGTAATTGATTTGTAAGGTTGATTCTAAGATTTGTTTGTTTTTTGAGTTTGTGGCTATGGTTTAATGGCTGAGTATCCACCGTTGGATCATACGACGTGGTTGATTACACGGATGAGATGGGCTTGAAGGGAGATCAGGGCTTATCGGTTTATCTTGGTAGCGTATCTTACAGAAACTTTTATGTTCTTTAAGATTGGTCGGAATAAGATAGTGTGGGGTCTACTGTTGTTTCACGTGTCAATGGTTAATACTGGAGTGAATACTCTACTCGACCAATCAAATGGAACTGAATTCCTGTTATTTACAACTTTGCCACTTGCTCTTTATTTACGCGATTCAGCCTTTTCGCTGCACCCAGTTCTTCACAGCCCACTGGGAAGAATTCATTAATCAAGTAAACCGATAAAATGAACCCGGAGTTCCTATAAACCTAACACATTATCAAATTTCGAATGATTCCTTCTTGGATTTTGAATTATATTTATGTTCTTATAAGGATTAATTGTTTGGTTTTGGTTACATATTAGATTACAATGATGATATCTTCAAGATAATTTACGTTGTTACATGTTGAATATTTATTATTATATTTATCTATACTATTAAAGCAGAATCCCTAATAGAATTTTGCCTTTATTTTTTAGATTTATTTACATTGGAATGCCATTGCCATTTCTATTTTTCATAAAAAATAGCTAACTTAATTTACAACCAATCAGAAGTTATTTACGGTTTTCTATTATCTAACAAACAAACAATATCTCCTGTTTTCTATATTTTGTTATATACAATTAATATTAGTTTGTTCAAAATCTTTTGTTTCCTATATTCGCTTTGATTCTGAAAACGTGTTCGCAATGAATATCCATAATATATACTACTCTACGGTGAGAACTATGGCTAATCTCCCTGTCACTTGCTTCCTTTGGAGCTTCTTCCAGCAATGATCTCAAGATTTTACCAGCGGAGCAGTTGGTCTCGAAATCTGCGATCCCGAGCTTCACAAGTACATTTTAGGAAAAAATCTCTTGCTGAAATTGAAAACAACCTCGAATCTTATATATATATGCTACCAAAAAGGTGTGTGTGCTTTATATAGATCATTATCTCTGTTACTTCATGTTTCTTTTGTTGCTATATAGGTTTTGCTTTCTCTATATTAGTGTGTCTTTGGCTGGCACTCTCTATATCAGTTTTCTTTTCCAGAACTATATACCATTGGGTTCCAACGATGAGTGATAGCGTCTGACACTAAGTGGTGTCTTGTGTGCTTTCAGGTGCAAGATTGGCTTTACGACATGGACGGTGAGGATGCTAATGCCACAAAGTTTCAGGAGCGGGTTGACTTTCTAAAAGTCACTGGCAGTCCCATATATTTGCGGTTTGTTCTCTGCTCATACTGATTGAACCGGAGCTTCCTTGCAAAAACAGGTAATTTCATAGAAACCATTTGATACATATTTTTGTATAGATCATATGAGCTTACAGCACGACGTGTAGCAGTTGAATACGCTCAAAAAATACCTAACCGAAGAGAAGGAGGTACGCTGTGACTGACATTACATATTTTTGCAGTAAAGCTAAACACAGTTGAGTTTCAACCACGTTTGCAGATCATAAAAGAGTGGGAGACTAACTAAACTTGGCTTCCAAAAGAAAAAAATCAATGAGATTGTTTTGCTCATCTGAGTGAAAACACACAGCTCTCTTTAACAATTCTTGGTGAGCTTATGCTAAATTTTGTTGTTTTATTCAGGTCTCAAACAAAACAGGGAAGTAAAAAGCTGGTTGGAGAAAAATGAAGCTGAGCAGAAAAAGTGAATGTTGCTTCATTTACCTTTTTATCTCTTTAAAATTAGAAAGAGTTTAACATGACAAATCTTTGTAACAGGACTACCATGTGGAGCAAGCCAGTGTTCACGTCAGATGAAATGTACGCCCAATGTATATACTAATGCTCCTGAATCTGAAGCTGGTGCCAAAGACGAAGAGGGCCATGACGAGCTTTGATTAACATCACATACATAATAATAGAGTTTTTCATTGAACTTATATTTTGTGTGTGTTTAAGTGTCAGATAGGAGGTTGGTTAGTAAAGACCTGAACTGAGCAAAAAGATTTGATTTCTTTCTCAACTTCTTCATCATATCAAGTTTTGGTGTCTTATCTATTATAGTTGAACTTTATATTCAATCCTACTGTTAAAATTTTGGATTCTACCCCTAGATTTTTATCATATTTATAAGATAATACCACTATTTATTTTTAGAATCTTAATTAACTAAGCAATTTAATATCTCCTATATTTATGGTAACTGATAATATTTCCTATTTTGTGATTAATAATAATTTTTCTTTTATGAAAATTATGATTTTCTATTTAATTTTAATATCATATTTCGTGCATCATATTATTTAGCGATTAAAAATTCTAAATTATTATTTACTGTGTCATTTTATCCATAATAATGATATGTTAATTCAATTTGTTTTAAAAACTAATTTTTAGATATAAAATGAGTAAAAAATGTAAACTTATCATAGGTTATTAATAACGAAAGGAAACTAATATTGTCATATGAATAAATTGTGTTTTTTTTTCTATTACCATTGTTTCATTTTTTGCAAATGATAAGAAAGTTTTTATTAAAGAAATTACAAAAAATAAATTTTCTTTAATATTAAAAATATGAGTTATTTAACAAATTTTTAAAAATATATCATCAGTTTTTTATGGGGTTATTTAACGGATCAACGGATGTCATAATAAAGATTAATAGCGGGTTTTAAGATATATACCGGTTTGCTTAAATTTTTAATTAGTAAATTCTTAGTTAAATCTAAACTGGATTATATAACAATTGCCGGATGTACCGGTTCAACTATGGATCTGGATCGGATATGAAAACATTAAGTGAAAATCAAACATTATAATAGAATATTTTAAATATTAATAAAACAAATTTTAAAATTTTGTATTTGAATAATTAATTTAAATAAATTTTATCAAAATGGTAAAAATATACCCGCGCTTTTAAAGCGCGGGTCAAAATCTAGTAACTGTTATAAACTTTAAAAGTCTAACTCATAGCGTTGTCGACTCGTTTTGGATATATACCATAACTCCTCTTGTATCGATTGATATAAGTTACTATATGACTACAAAAAAAAGAACAATAGGTAAACTAGACGATTCAACAAAAACTATGATCTAAGAGCTTCCTAAACTCATCAAAATCAGTTATTCCATCTCTATACTCATCAAAAACCTTAATCATCTTCATACACTCCATCTTTGTACACTCAAACACACACGGCACATGCTTCAACTAATCTTCATCTATAAATCTCCTCAAACAATCTAAAAGCTTTTTTCACTATCTCCTTACCCATCATCTCACTCTTCTCGTGAAAATAATATTAGTTTCGTAAAGAAATAGACGTATGTTTTATTAGTTTCGTATGAATATTTTAAACTTTTCCCGTAAGTAGTATTTTTAATTTATAAGTGAATTCTATTAAATAAATGTTCCAAATAATTGTTCTTTTAAGATAAGAAATTAAAAGTACATTTAGAAATAAAAAAAATTGATTCTTCTAGGTGTTTGCAATAGACTTCCAAAGTAACTAACCCCAAATACTATAAGCATAATCGTCAGAGACACTTATATTTGTATTATTCATAGTACAATAAAACGTAACGAGCAACACATACACATATATATACATAAGCGCTCTTCAAATTTCTGAAATATTTTAAGGAGATGTTGGGTTAAGCTCTGTGCTTACAGTGTCTCTCACAATGTACTTTGTTTGATGAGCAGTATTTATTATGTCCGCTGCTGCAGCAATAACATTTTTGTATTTTCTTACAAGAAAATAATAAAAAGCAACCTTCTTTATCTCTAGAAGGACACGTAGATTCCGAGCACAGTGGAAAATTTAACTTGCTTATCTCAATACCTTTCACGTTTGTACCTATATAAGAAACAAAAACAAATCAGAAAATTTATGGAGGATATGATTATGATATTTATGGTAACTGATGATAAGTGATGAACAAAACCTAACTATTTGTGCATACACATACGTACATTCTTGAAGACTAACAAGCGAGAAAAGACAAAAGATAGCGAAACTGGATGACGACATTGTGATTTTTCTTTCCAAAGAACCGTTGTGTTGCTTGGTGATAGAAAAAGTAAAGATATATATATAGAGAGAGAAGTCTCAAATTAGGTAAATCTTTTGTAGGGTAATCCATAAAACTGTATTAAGATTTGTTGGACTATGTTTGATTCCATTCTAGATTATTGGTTTTTAGGTCTTTTTGAAAATTTCTTTGGATTTTCTATTAGATATTGTTGTTTAGAATGGAAAGAAAACTGACGTTAGGGAGAATATACAGGCATGTTTATGCGCATGTACGTACATTTATGAAGACTAAAGAGGAAATTTTGCAAATTTTTAAATGTCTTAATTTCATCTCTAAAATAGTGCTGGCTTACTGAATTCGGAAAAATTACTAATATGTTTTGTTACAGTTTATCGTGTAGACATTGGGAATTTTTTAATTAATTCTTTGATCATCTATATTTTACTTACTTTTTGGTCACTTATTCAGGAAGAAATTTAAAATTTAACATGGTTGATGTAGTTGAAAAATGGATGAGTAACTTTTGATATCATGCAATTAAAGGTGTTTGCGTTGAAATAGTTAAATGATAGATTATTTATCTATAAAATATTTTGAATATCAGGTGCATGAGATTAAACATGATTAAAGATCATATGATGATTTAAAAATTATCACCATGGCTGTCCGACAGAGTGTGGTTCATATATCGAGAAAGCGAACATGGGAACTCATTAACAATGGTTCTCGGTTCGGTTCGGTTATTTCAGATATATAAATATAAGAACCGTTTGGATATTTGAGGGTTTCGATTCAGTTCCAGTTTTGGATATTCGATTTGGTTCTTCAATTCTGGTGTTTTTGCTCAGGCCTAATTAAACCTCTGTTCATATGTTCTTATGATAAATGGCCAATTCTCATTGTAACTCTAAATGCTTTTATGCAAACAAGGTTTGACGAGCTCCGTCCAAAATGTGGCTTCGTGAAGACGACTTGCAGAGGAACTGTAAAAACTGATATTCTTTGCCACTATTGGAGAAAGATTAGTAGAGTTTTGCTGGAGAATTTATTTTCCTTCTTAATTTTTTGAAGAGGCCTTTAAACAGAAAGGAAAGGATTCTTAAATTTGGGTTTTCATAGTATGTTACAAGAGATAAACTTTATAGAGCATAACAACTGAAGGCATTGGACCATATAGCACAGATGACTACGGAGTTGTGTTTTTCCAAAATAACATATATAACAAAAAAAAAGTAAATACTTATAAATTTAAAAATGAATTGTAAAATATATATAGATATATATATATATATATGATTTCATTAAAATGAGAGTTTACAAAATAATAATATTCATTTTAAAACATATTTTTGAATTAGTAAAATATACTTTCAAAGTAATAAAAAGAATTTCTTTATATTTATTTTTTTCTTAGATTAAAAGAAAAGTATTTACTTTTTTATATAATGGAAAAACATTTCACATAGATTATCTTGATACTAAAAAAGAAATAATATTTTCTTTAAAACGTAATATATATATATATATATATATATATATCTTGATACTAAAAAAGAAATAATATTTTCTTTAAAACGTAATATATATATATAAAGTAATAGAAATATTTTCTTTATATCTATCTATTTTCTTAGATGATTACATAAAATAGTTAAGTAACATAAACCGATACATGTTTAATTGACTAAAATATTATAATTAATCTTATTGAAATGTATTATCTTTTTCATAATCTTTTGTTGACTATAAATATCCTACAGTTACAGCCAACAAATATATTTGTAAATTATATTTACTTATATAATATGATTGATATTTGTTCATGAGCTTATTAAAATTTTAAATATTGATATTTGTTCATGAGCTTTTAAATATTTGTCACTTATACCTATAATTATGTATGTAACTTTTTAGGTGATCATTGCTTATTTTATAATAAATTTTAAAAATCAACATATATCGAATTATTAAAAATATTAAGAAAACACTTGCACATTTAAGCGATAAAAAACTAATTTGATTTGATTTAATTTGAATCAGAAGTAATTGTACTTCAGTTTAAATATGAAAGAATATAACTCAATATGCTCATAAAATGAATAATTTGATTAATCCAATTACTATCCCAAATCAAGGATTTAATTACAATAAAAACATATAATTTTATGATAATAATATATTTATTTTTATACATATAAATTACAAGATGATTCAAAACAAAAAAAAATATAGAAAAATAAACTATTAACCAATTGTTACAATTCAGTTCTTTTGTAAATTTATATATAAAAATATATTTATGCATTAAACTTCGAATATTATTTTATATTCATTTATGTAATTTTGAATTAACATTTCAATTTTTTATTTCATTCTAAGCACAATAATATATTTATATTCAATTGTATATTATTTTACTAAAATATATTTACATACCTAAGACAACAACCAACCTAAATGTAAATAAAAATTAATCAAAATTTTAATACATTTATAAACAAAAAAAATTGTTGAATTCGAAGAAACAAATACAATCCAATATATCTAAACAGTAACAAAGTCGACTGTTGATCAAAAAACAATTAAACAGACTAGATATAAGTTATAATATATCCAAAACTACATTTCTAATTAAAATGATATATTAATATAAGTTATCATATAAATTATAAATTGATTGGAAACTAAAAGTAAATATCAATCAGTTATTAGAATATATATTTTATAAATACTTATATTGTGCATGAGTACATGAGAATCATATAGTGCACAATATATCGTAAAATATTTGGGGAAATTAATAATATTTAATTAAATAATAGTGTAAACGTTATATTCTGTAATTTTTTATGTG